CCCTGCTGTGGAACAACACTGGCAAAGTATCCCCAAGGAGACAAGTTGGTAGACGCAGGTTACACACGTTCAAACTGCAAATACATTTAAAATTTGTCATATATTCTGCATCACTTACCTTTTCTTTAGGCTGATTCATCACTACAATCAAATCTCTGTTTCTTCTCCATTGTCTCACAGTAAAATCTTCACCGGTTGATCGACCTGCTGACATAGCACTGCCTTAACAAACTTAAAGCATATGACAGGTTTTCGTGTTTTTAAATCTATGACTTGGTTTGCTGAGATAGTATCTGTGATAAATATTTATTAGAGTTTTGCATTAGTTTGTGGAAAAAGGTTGAGAAGAAAAGTACAAAAATACAAGAAGTCACAGAAAATCTATTTAAACAGTTTAAATATTGATTTGACAAACCAGAGATGTTGTCATGCATTTGTTATTCTCATCAGACTCTTGTTAACATTTTGATTGCCAGGTTATGAAATTACCTCTACATACGTCACATCTGCTGCTCATGTCCAACCAGAAACAAAATAATAAACTTCATCAGTTAAAAACACAAAAAAAACAAAAAAACAACAACAACTAGGTAATACATTTGATAAAATCTAAAATATTATGGTGTTAACTCTGTTTTAGTGAAATGATTACTCTAACCTGTCATTATGCATTTTAATACATGAACAGTATACATTTGTTTAATTGAGACTTACAGAGTGTTTTGACAGTCTTGACTTCAGCTCCTGCAGGTATCTTCAGAGTGACGTGTGTTTTTGCACAAGTCACCTCTGCCTCTGTCTCAGTCTGATCACAGTGGACTGAACCAGTCCTCCTCCTCTTCAAGAAAACGTCAAAATAAAACAGCTTCAGTCTCGTCTCCTCTGCTGAAATCTGAAAGCAATGAGAGCTGTAATGTGCACTGAAACTGCAGTTTACCATCATTTCCTTCACAAACAACAAAATATCCTGGTCTTATTCTGCAAATATACTGCAGACCCTGTAATTTGGATCTGTATGCACATGTTCTGAATTGTGATCCATGCTTTAGTTTGTCAGTCTAAATTTCAGTCTTTTTGTCAATTCTTTTAATCCTATAATCAGTCCTGTTGAGAATGATTTACATATACATTTGTGTGTATATATATTTCAACATGCTTCCATAGTACTATAATGAGTGCACTGAACAACAGATGCATGCAGATGTCTATTTGCTCACAGAAGTTCTTCTATGAATATTTTTAATTTAAACTTTTATAATTAAATTTAAAGAATTCTATATAATCTTCTTTAAAATATAACCAAACCAAATTAACAGCAGTATTCATTCACTCTACAGTCATACTGCCTCTTAGCCTCAGCTTAACCCATCTACCCAGCAGCCTCTACAATCTCCAACAGTAATGGTTACACACTGGTACAGGGAGAAGGGGTGAAGTGTCTTGCCAAAAAATACATGAGTATATTATCAGTATGTTGGCTCACATTTGACAGTATAATTTTGCATAATGTAATTTTGGGGTTGCATTCTGAACGGCAGTAGCTCAGTTGGTAGAGTGTTTGTCCACTGATCGAATGGTCGGCAGTGCAATTCCAGCTCCTACAGATGAATGCTGTTGTTGTGTCCTTGGGTAAGACACTTAACCCACCCCAGTGTCTGCATACATTGGTGTATGAGTGTGTATGTGAATGGGTGAGTGGTTTCTTGATGTAAAGTGTTTTGAGTGCTATGGTGAGTTCAATGGTCAGTCTGAGTATAAAACATGTTTGGAGTTAGTACCGGTTTCTTGGGACCACAATATTTTAAGTTGAGCTTCACCAAGAACCACTTCTTATGAAAACTGGAGGAGCTGAGGCAACTTTTAGGCAGTGACAGCAGCGGAGAGCCATCTGAGACGGAACAAACCAGCGAAAACATGAAATATTGTGCGAAAAACATATATATACAGTGAAGATGACACAGATTTTCAAACAGACCTTTAAATCTCAGACTTCTGTATCGTAAAAGAGAGAAACGAAGGTGAAGCGTTTCTTTGCTGCAGCGACACAGAAGAGGGTTAAAATCTGACGGCTCTCTGCTACGTCCACTCTCTGAAGACACAATGGAAATGAGTAAAGGTAAGATTATTAACACTTTGCAGTGACATCGCCCTTGTGGTGTCCTACATGTATTTCTATGGCGCAATGTTTCTGTAGTTATCACAGACACAGTGCACACACCAAAAACAGTTTTAACAAAATAAAAACAGGAATTAAACACATTTTCAAGAGCTTTCAATCTATACGAGCGTCCACACACCTTTCTCTCCAGACAGTAAAAAGTACTACACAATATATTGCCACATTCAATTGAATATATGATTTCATTAGATAAGATACCCAATTATTCCAACAAGGGGGCAACTGCAATATTGTAACAGCAAAGTACACCAAAATAGACTGTTATTTCCAAGTTTTTCATATAGCTACATAATTATCTTACACAGTCTGCTTTTTGGAGAGGCCTGTGCTAACACCAGGAGGAGTCATTTGTGGCAGGAAATTAGGATCCCAAATAAAATAGCTTTTATATTCTGTCTCTGTGTTTAGAAAGTCAGACTTCGAAATATAATTGGTTTATTTGGTGTTGCATTGTCAGGCTGTTCAATTCAACTCTAATTTATTTTTGTATAGCCCAAAATCATAACAGCAGCTGCCTCACAGGGCTTCACAAAAGTGTTGACAGAACTTTACCAAATCAAACAATCAAACAGGAATGTATTTTCCAATCTGAAGAGCCAGGTCACAGCAGGTTAATATTGGCTTAAATTATGTTGAAAGTTTATTTCTGGCTTCAGCTCTGTGTCCTTATCACACAATGTCAACATCCCTGCAAAACAAGCAACTTCCTCTTGTGTCCAAGTCTATTCATCAGTGCAGTGTATTCAGTGTCTTTCACCTTGTGCAAAGTCCCACACGGACAGTGAAAATTGGACCATATTTTCCAATCTCAACAAGCATTTGCTCATAGAAGACAGACTAATATTGGTCTAAATGATGTTGTTGAATGATTTTTGTGATTCAATTGACACAACTTACTGTGTCCTTTATCAAGATGTCAACAGCTCTGCAAAACCTCCTTTTGTGTGGAATTCAAGCCTATTAGTGCAGTATATTGATGCTTTGCAGCTGATGTCATCAAAGTTTCTGGTGAGAGGGGGTGATAAACTGTAAGCTCTTCTCTGTCTGAAGCTCTGTTACTCAAATTAAGCTTTAATCTGAATTTAGTTTTAACACAATCTGACCAGAAAATGTGCTGTTTAAATCCATTTAGTATTTTACTTGAGTTTTCATACTATCTTAAAACTTTTGTTTGCTAATGTGAGTTTTGTGTCACCATGGTAACTGCTGAATATTTCGTCAATAGAGTGCTGTGGAACACCCCCTGCATGATGCCACTGCAAAGCATCAATTGAACCTGTCTGACCAGCCAGTCTCCTCTGTAAAGTATTGTCAATCTAAAAGCGTGTAGTTTTGGCAGACTAAACAACAATCCAACCCCATCTGTGCAGTGTCTTCAGTGTCTTCAGTGTTTTCAGTGTTTTTCACCTTGTACAAAGTCCCACACGGGCGCACTGAAACTTGGCAGAGCTCCTTGTGCAGAGCGCGGAGGAGGAAGAGGAGGAGGAGGAGGAAAGGACTGTCCCTGCTCCTGACCGTGACCCGGGGACAAAAGGACGGGCCGCCACGCGCTGATCGGCCGGGCTAAGCTCCAGAAGACCCAAACCCAAGCAACGCGCAGAGCGGCCCTCATGGTACCGTCCTGCCCGGGGCCGGTCCACTCGGCTCTGCTCCGAACCGCGCTCTGCTCCGGGGGAGGAAAACAGGAAGTCACGCGCAGGTGCCCCAAATAACCTTTCACTTTAAAAACATACATCTTTGACACAATTTTGGGTTCAGATCATTTTCTGTTCTTTGTTAATATAAATATTTGATACAGTTTTAAAACCATTATCAATATGTATATATATTTTTTTAATCGTTAATTTGATTTCTTCATCACTCGCCTATATTTTTGACACAGCTTCATTTATTGAATTAGTTCATTTGTAACCAACTTTTGACACAATGTTGAACCATATGCCTTTTAAAATGTAATAGTGATTGTGATATACAGAAAAAAGGAGGGTGTGTTGTGTTCTTCATCACCACTAGAGGTCACCTAAGTGCAAAGTAATTCTTATTTCAGTCGACTTTTTATTTTAATTAATGAATGAATGTATTGAGGCAACAGTCTAACACAATTCACACAACGGCCTGCGTATAATTTGCTATTCATAAGATAAAAGGTATCTATTTTATTTGGAGAAATTGATAAAAGTGCCTTGTGAATTAGAATATCAACACAGCATAAGAGATATTAAAGGAAAATAATAAGGCACTATAAAATGCTATAATGTGGCCTATATATGTTTATGTGAAGCTAGTGTAAAAGTCATATCCTCAAGGACACAAGTGTTTACTCTGTATCTCCACTAGAGGCCACTTTGCACAAATGTTTCCTTATAATAGTAAACACTTATAAGGATCAAAATAGTCTAATAGGCTATTAATGTTTGTATTGATAGAAACGTTTAAAATAAGACAAATCTAGACCTGAATTTAAAGCAATAGTGTGTAACTTTCTGGAGGTGCACACACATATTGCCTGCATGATTCAGTTGAAGTATAAAGCTACAGAAAGAACATTCTCCAAAGGCACATTTCCCTGGAAACAAGCAGATAGAGGCCCACCAAATAAGAGTCAGGTTTATGGAAATGCAAGCCCACCCAGAAAGGACACGTTTTTTTTTGTTTGTTTGTTTGTTTGTTTTTTGTTTTTTGGAAATGTTATACAGTTTAATTTATTTTAGTCTATTTTCTGCCTTAAAAAATACATGAGAGAACCTACTAAACCAAAACAAGTTAAGATTAATATTCAAAATTCTTTTCAACTCGTGGACAGAAAATCAACACCATATGCTTATTTATAAATCTTTATATCTTCAAATTATGACATTTGCACAAATATGAAATGCCACAAGAAAGTACATGTGCACAAGATAAAATCTGGAATCAATTCACAAACACAATTATTTTAAATTTAAGTAAACAAAATGATCAAGAAAGCCTATGATTTCACTTATAGCAGCGACATTTCTTCATTTTCACCAGTGCTTTCATCATATGTGATATTGTGACAGTAGCTTGAAATGTATTGTTAAAGTGCATATATGACACGTCTTCTTCTTGTTCTAATTCTGACTTAGTTTGCTGCTATAGTACCTGTACCTGTGGTTTTCATAGTTTTACAGATATATCTTTTTTTTTAACGTGTTTGGATGCAACAACAGTGTCCAAAGTATGAACGTTCCAGATGCGGCGCGTAATTGCCAGATTCATACTGCACTGACACTTAAAAAAGTATCACAGAAACACAGGATGGCTTAGATGCATGTCCACATAGGCCATGTCTCATTTCTCTTTCCTTGCTTCCTTCTCTTTCATTCCTCTCATTGATTCTGCAGGAAATGAGTGAGGAAGTCCCACCCACAGCGGAGACAAAGCGAGGAAAGAGAATCTGAACTCCTCACTATAAAGTTTGATTCTTTTATCCGATGTCTTCTCATGAAGTCTCCCTCAGATTTACTCCTTCCTTCCGTGGTTTTCTTTGGGACACCACTTAATATGACACATTTGATTGACAGCTGAAAACTGGTCACCTAGTGCCTCCAATCAATTTCATTTCTCTCCAGCGACTAGGTCAGGAATCAAAATACAACAAACGGTTTACAAAAACCCTGGAAGAGCAAGTCTGGGCACCAGCCAATCAGCGAAGAGCCAAACATTCTGTGTTGTCAACGATTCCCGAGATCGAGGATTTAAAGTTGTAACAAAGAGAATGTTTGGTGAATTTTATCAAGGGGAAAGACGTTATTGCCCTTCTTCCTACGGGATTTGGGAAAAGCTTAATATACCAGTTAGCCCAGTTAGCGGTGCATTACATACGTCATGACCAAACAGCAGCGACTGGTTAAATGATAAAAAGTACCCGCCTACAGTCAAGCGAACGAATTCTAACACTGCGAGGTCAGACTGTTTGTACAACGTGAAACAAAGTAAAACCAGCTGATGAATCAGGCTAGAAAACTGGAGGATCGAGACGAGGAATCAAGGAGAAGGAAGCGAGGAAAGAGAAATGAGACGCGGCCATAGACAACATGTAAACCATGGCTCTATTAAAATAACAATAATGTTAATACATAAATAATGATGTAAACTCGTCACATCTGCTGCCTGTGTCCAAACAGGAAGTAAAATTAAAATAAAATTGAAAAAACTAGACAAGGTCTTTAGTGAAATCGTAAATCTAAAGACTTTAACTATGTTTTGTGGTGGCGTAGTCTTAACTTGTCATATGCACTTTAACATTTAACCATTTGCTTTATATTGTTGCATGATATTCATATTGTTGTTTTAAAAGCAATTAGCACTGAAGATGATTACAAAATAAAATACAATAAATTATTTCAAAACAAAGAAAAAGCACAGATTCAAGTAAAAGTAAAACAGAAAGACTTAACATTTACCATACACTTAGCTCGTGAGTTTTAATGCCTCATGCCAATTTTCAAGTGATAGTTGCTAGTGTTGTATCTGAGATCTTTTTTGTACTAGGTAACTTTTCTGGAGGAAGGTCCACTACCTGCTTGTCTGTCTCAATTGCTGGGTTGCAGTTGATATCATAACATTCTATAAGCAAGTAATATTTAATACCGATGAGGGCAGGTAAAATGAATATGGTTGAAATGCAGATTTTTGTTGTAATTCAGTGAACTCTTTGGTCTAGTCACTAATAGAAATCAGGTTCCACATTTGTACATTTACCTTTTGGATATTTCTTGGCAAAGTACAATTGAAAAAACAATAGGAAAAACTTGGCTGCTGCCCCCCATCGGGGCATACGACATCATCACATCTGAAACCACCAATAGAGAAGTTAGTGCTGTGCCTTTGCTATCTCCATGGAGACAAGCAAATGACAAAAGGGAACAGTAAAACTACATGGAATTTTGAGCAATATAACACTTCACCAGGAAAGTTACATAGTGCCCTCAAATCAGAGGAAAGTTTGTAAAAAATAAAGAATGTTATAAATCCATATGCTGATTGAAGATTTGCAGTAATCAGTTTTCCCTATTCATTTGGTTTAGATATTTTGTATGACAAATCCACAAATTATTATTAAATTACTTTCCTCATCTCTATTAAATGACAAATCTTGTTGTTTCATGATCTGTTATAATGTTGTTCCCTCATCAAAAACATACTTGGAGTTTTGGAGTTGTGTTTTGTTTCATTCACACTTGGTTCCACCTTGTGATGTCATGTGGTAATACAGGAAGTGCTCCACTGTGTTTTTAAACTCCAAACATCTTCACTAGAATCATTTAGATAATTTCAGCCATTGAATTGCTAATCTCTACTAAAGTAAAGGTAAAACTGAGCTGTTAACTTGAAAACTACTGCTTCATGACATCACCAAGTGGAACAGAGCATTTTGAGCTTTGATGTAGACAGACTAATAATAAAGGGTTACAAACATGTGTGAATGAAACAAAACACAACTCCAGGTCTGTTTTTGATCATGGAACAACATTCTAACATGTTGATGTTGTGATACTCAGTAATACAGTTGTGACAGCATTAGTAATATGTAGCATGATACAAAAACTCCAACTGAGTACAACACTAATGGGTTTGTGATCATACTCTGTATGATTGCACTTGATTTAGCTCTTCAGATTTACCGTAAACAGAAAAAAGACAATAGTTTACATTTTTACACAGCTTTAAGAGAAAAAGAAATAAAAAACAGAAATCACACATGATCTGAATACACTGCATAAGTTGGTGCAAATCATGATTCAGTAATGCCCACAGCTATAGATAAAGTATTCTTAAAGGTGCACTTTGGCTTTGCTTGGCCTGGAATGTTCCACAGTATGGCATTAAACATTTCCATTGAGACAAGCAAGTGGCACAACCAGAACAATTTATAGATCAGATTTGTGGAAAAGCAAACCCACTCCCAGTAAGAATGCCTACTTTTCAAGCCATTTTTTGAGAAATAAAAACACCTGTAACTGAATAAATGCAAGATAGCTAAGTTTAATACCAGACTGCGCAACATTTCAGGCAAAGAAATATCATCTCCATAAAAGTTACAGTGTAACTTCATGATTCATGCCTTGCAAAAGTTAAGATTTACAATTATACAGAGCACAGCGTAATTTTTGAGCAATACCAGTATAAGAATACATTGAAATCTCATTCAAATTCACATTAATAGCTTGTAAATCAAAAAGACATCAGAAAGTATGTTATTTTTACAGTTCTGCTTGCTAATGAATTGTTGACACTTACTCCCCGGTTCCCCCTGTAGGCTGTACATGATGTCTGCATTGAAATGGACCAAACTAAAACACTGTTAATGCTGAATGAAAAACTATCAATAATAATTAATTGATTAATTTAAAGGTTGTACCTGATTTTTACAGTCTTAAAAAAAAGTGAAAAACAGAACTAGTTAATTTCAAACCGTTTGCAATGGTCCAAAGTTATTCTTCACTTACCAGACGCATTCAGAGCATCCTAATTATTCACTTTGATGAGTTTATAAGCACTTCACACAACTTTCAGAAGCCAGTGCGGAGTTTGCTGTGACAGAAAAGCTAAAAACAACTACCATGCTAACTGTACTTCCTGATTCACTGAAAATAAAACGCTTTGTAATTAGATGCAGATGCAGCAGACTTATTTTGATCAAAAGACCTGCTTACATAACATGTCTGTACTGTCTGGGGCAAGACCATTTTTCTCAAATACATGGGGAAAAAAATCTGGTACAGGACCTTTAAGTATTACTGCTACAATAGAACACTACCCTCACAGCCTTATACAGAATAGGCTTAACTCTGTGTCCGTCTTGCAGTAACTCTTGATGTAAACGTGCACCACAAAATTCCTGTTAAACATTTTCCAGCTGCTCGACAAAACAGAGAATACTTCCTGTTGTCCACTGTCACATTCTGAAAGACTTCAGGACACCACAGCCGTCATGTCCCACAGCTGCGGAACAAGATAAAAATGTTCAAAGTTGTCCAGTACAAAAGAGATCTTCAATAGTCTTATTCTGTCTAAAACTATTAACCCTATAGTTTAGACCTCTACAAACACTTTCCGAAATGCATGGAATTCTTGGATTAGTTTTGTATTTTCTGTCTTCTTTGAAATGTTAATGCGCCTCCTATAAATATGTAACATGGATAGTTAGCTATATACAACCATTTTTCTAGAGTGAATTACAAGCCAAGTCCACATACCTTTCTCCCCAGCTCTTATAATAGTAAGCACTAGTACTAATAGCAGTGGTGGAAGGTAACAAACTACAAATAATAGTACAATACTTTTTACTTTTACTCCACTACATTTGAGAACGTGTATCTGTACATTCTGCTCCACTACATTTTAGATCTGGACTGAAAAGTAAAAAGTACTTTTCTTTATGGTGTGAGACCTGCTGAAATTGCTGAGACTTCTTTTTTTTTTTCAGCACATTTATTATGAGTTTCGGTCCCAATTTTGAGCAAACCAAATACACAAAAGTGGCTAGAAACATTAAGAAAACAATTGAATCACTTAAAGTCTGCTCAATTATTTTTCAATATCACTACATTTCATCCTTTAATAGTTCTAAAAATCTCTGCAAAATACTTTTTTTTTTTACATGGACATTGTGCATTTGTACATTTTTAAACAGGTACTTTCATAGTTTTACTTGAGAGATTTTTTCATGTGATACTTTTATTTTTACTTGAGTACCTTTTTGCCTTTGTATCTGTACAGTACTTAAGTAACAAAATTTTGTACTTCAACCACCACTGATTAATAGTAGCATACTACTAAATGTAATACTGAACTAGCATTGCATAATATGAGAAAAATAAGTGGTAACCGATAACCATGTTTTGTTTAGCGAAAACAACATTATTGCAGTCTTGATACGATACTTTGCAGTGATATCACGCTGGAGTTGTTCTACATGTATCTCTACAGGCAGAATGTTCAACAGTTACCATGGTGACACAATGCACACATTAGCAAAAACAGCCAAAAATTGTATATGTCTGAAAACTACAAAGTGGGTTTAAACAACGCATTTTTCAGGAGCCTGTAATCAATATGAACAATCATGGTCCTGCTTAGGTATTTGATTAGGTAAGAAAGAAAGTAATAAACAGTAATTTTATGTGTGAGAGACTTGTTTCAGTGCACAAATAATTTTACCTGTTGTAGTTCCAGCCAAGTCAGCACTTTCAGGTCACATTGTGTTAAAATAAAACTCGGATTAAGTCTAACTTGAATAACGGATCTTCTAACAGAGCAGTGCTTTCAGTTAGCTTCACATCCCCAGGGAATGTTGATGATATCAGCTGCAAAGTATCAATTATAATATAGCTTTTGGCACAAAAAATAAACTTAACAGAAGCTAAACCATGACCAAACCAATTCTACTGTAGGAATTTGATAGAATATACCTTATTTTAGATTTAAATTACCATATACATATAAATATAAAATCACATACCAATATTTTTGTGATATTTTGCGCAGCCTCATACTGAACATATGCTACTGTGTCTCTCTATTTTAGCACAAACCATATTTCTTCCGTACCTTGATGACTTTATCTGTACCAGAGGTGAGCAGGCAGCCTGTGGTGGGCTCATAGTGCATGTAAACAATGTTGTGCTTGCTGTCATGGAAGGTGGCTGTGGGCGCCCGGCTGAAAAAGAAAATATTTATTTGTTTGAGTTTAACAAATACTGGCGTAGTCTAGTTGTCCATTTCCCAAACTTTTCATGTCCAAATGTTTATATTACCTCATATGGTTTTGTAATACTCTAGCAGTCAAAAGTTTAAGAGCACCACACATTTTCCAGTTTTTTACCGTTTACTGTTTACCAAAATGTATTCTAAACTTTTGATTCATCCAAGTGTCCACTTTTGGCAGATATAACAGCTGAACACACTTGTGGCTCGTTCTTTTTACAACAGAAATCAAATATTCTTCAGAAAGTTCTTCCTAAGTCTGTTGCAGATGTTTCCATAAATGTGTGGCACTTGTAGGTTGCTTCACTCTTCTGTCTAGTTCATCCCAAACCAGCTCAGTGGGGTTTAAGTCTGGAGACTGTGCTGGACACTCCATTTTTTCAAGCTCACCATCTTGTTATTTTTGTTTTGGCAGAGCTTGGACTTATGTTTTGTTATCTTTTTTAACCTCTGCCTGTTCAATACCTACCTTTGTACCCTTTCAAGCTCTTCATTGGACTTGCACGACTTGAATTGCAATAAATAACTGAAAAAATTAGGGTGTTCTAAAACTTTTGATTGATAGTGTATATTCTGTTCTGTTACTGGTTTAAAGGAAGAACTGCAATCATAACATGGAACATGTTTTTTTTTTCTCATTTTCAGTATATGAAACATGTGAAAATGGATTTTGACAGTTAAAGAAAATTCCACCATATAGTTCCCTTCTGTCCATAACTTTAAACTATAACTACTATATTGACTGTTGTGATGTCATTTGAATGCAGCCTATGCAGTAGAGACAGCTGCAGTTAGCGTAGGTAGCCTAGTGTGACAAACAGACAACAGCCTTATGCACATAGTGTTACAAAGAACAGAGACAGTGACTCACTCCTCTTCTGTGATGGAGCCATAGCAGCTGTCGCAAACTCGCACCTCAAACTCAAAACCCATCAGAGGAATCGCCGAGCGCTTCGAAGAGCACTTTCCACACACCGCCTGACCGCACTTTCTACAGTGGTGCTGAGAGCAGGGGAGGGAGAACACATGAGGAAGGACAAAGGACAGGTTAGCTAACCTTGTACAGTAAGATGAATTCTCGCAAATTTTGTGAGTTACTAAATCTACAAGAATCCATCTGACCTGGCTCACACTGTTGTGACTGGCACAGTTAATAAGTGGTTCAGACCAATTACAGCACAGTATTGTGGTTTGGGCGGATCCAAAATGAAGTACTCAGATGAACCAAAACAAACACAGCAACACCAAAGTAAAATACTTCAGCCAATTTTAGCAAAAATACAGAACATTTTGTTTGTGAAAAATGTGCAGAGGTAAGCCCTTTGTGCATTTGTGGAGCGAAAGTCTGTGCTTTTCTCTCAAATTCATTTAACCAAAGTTTGATTTTTGACTTCTTCTACTGTTGTGGCGCTTTGACCAATCACATTCAAACATTCGTCATGACGTTCAGCATTTCCCTGTTCACAGCAAGAGCCGTTCCAGAGTGATAAATATGTAGAACTCACTTCATAGTGCTAAACATATCAAACTGGTGTGAGCCAGGTTACATTTTAGCCAGAAATTATTAGAATGAGTCTAGTGAAGGATGGCTCAGTGACATGACCGTAAAAGTATTTTTCCTCAAATAGATCACAATTGAAAATATTAATTTTTGTCAGTATCCCTTGCCGCTTCTTTACACTCTCACACTTACCTGTCTGAGGCCGATCTTCTTACTGTCCCACATCTGTTTGAAGTTCCAGAAAAACGGCTGCTCACATTTCTGACATGAGTCACTGTCCAACCACTCAGGAGTCTGCAACACACGGAACATATGAATATAACTTATAATACAATCATTCATTTGTAAATGTAAATACTCTTGACAAAACACACAGGCTCCTGACCTCTTGTCGTGTGACGTCCATGTTCCAGACAACGATGGATCCGTCTGAGCTGCAGGAGATGAGTTGTCGAGTGTGAGAAGCATAACACAAGCCCTCGATCTTCTCACTGAGGAAAAGACAGAGAATGTATTAGAGGTGCTCCCATCAGGATTTTTAAGGCCCATCACTATTTATTAAACCATTTTATTGTTAGAAAAATATCCTAAAGGCTATGGATGATATGAAGTTCAACCAAGTCTATTTAGTTTATAGAATTAGTGGCATTCTTTTGGACATTTTAGTCAAAAATATGCCTTTGGCTGCTCATCAGTTACCTGCATCACGACATTCTATAGCCCAATAATATTTTATACAGATGGGGCAGCTAAAGTTAATATAATTCAAATGAAAAGTGTTGAAGTGAGCTTTTGGGTTTAGTAAAAAAAAAACTATATCAGGTTGCATGTACCTTTTACATATTTCATGGCAAAATACAATGTAATCAATCTTGCAGCATGGACTGTGAATGCTAGAATCCTAATCATAATACAGTAAAATCAGTAAAATATTTCCAAAATGGTGCTTTCCCTTTACATGTGTAAATGTGTTTGTCACCTGTGCCCCTGCAGTTCAATGGCAGTGCCCTTCCTGCCCCCGATGTCCCACATGATGATGGAGTGATCTGAGCTCCCTGAAAACAGCACCCTCTGAACAGGGTCCCAGCACAGCGCTGTCACGTTACCTGCAGGGGGCGAAAAACACAAATACACCATAAAGATGCCATTACACCATAATTCTGATCTATGTTATAATGTGTCCTCAACAAAAAGCATACATGGAATTGTGTTTTGTTTCATTCACACACACACACAAACCTTGCCTACTTAAGCTTCTCTCAAACAGAAAACACTGTACCACATTATGCTGTCATGTGACAATACAGGAGGCGCTTCACTGTGTTTTTAAACTCCATACCTAATCACTAGAATCATTTGGATCACTTTTAGCCCAGAAATTGCTGAACTAAAGGTAAAATGTAGCTGTTACAATGAAAACTACCACTACATATCATAGGTTATGAGGTTATGTAACTTTTGCCTGGAATGTTCCACAGTATGGCACTTAACTTCCATCTTGCATTTATACAATTACAGATCTTTTAACTGAATAAAAATAACTTCTGACTAAGAAAAATGTCACTAGGAATTTGGCCTGGTGGCATTTCAATGGAGATAAAAAGTTTAATGCCATACTGTGGAACAATACTCTACATTGGACCACCCCTGGTGAATGAGGAATTACACATTCTCATACTGTGGAACATTCCATGCATGCCAAATAACATCTCCATGGAGACTAGCAGGTGACAGGCCCTCCACCAGGTAAGTTGCTGTATATTTACTGCACTATGTATGTATACATTTTCCTGTATAAATGGCATTCAGTCTTAATTTTATAATCGGTAGACAATGATTAATTGCATAGCCTTTTTACCAGTGTGTCCCTTGAAGGTGGTGACCAGGCTGCATGAGTCCTGCTCCAGCTTCAGGATGGTCACCTGTCCAGACTGATCCCCCACAAATGCATGACGAGTCTCCATATCAAACCTGGGACCATTAAGCAACTAAACTACAAGAGTGAAATATAATACTATAAGAAGGAGGAGAAGTCAACTTTATAAAGGAACATACTAGAAGTGTCTGGGTTGGTTTCCTCTGTGCACTCCCAAAATATGCACCATAGGTCAAATCCTTCAGCTAAGGTAATCCTAACCAAGACTAGCTCAAGATCTGGAACTAGGTCCCACTGCTCCTGACAGGTTTAACCCAGAGACACTGAAGGATGAGTCAAATACAGAGGATGACTTTCCAATAGGACAATAACATGAATCTACCTTAACCTTAATTATTACATTTATTATCCCCCATCTAGAAGATAAAAATATATACATGTATTAAAATGAGCTGGTACTGTTTTTCATCTTTTAAAGACAAATTTTAAAGGATACTGGAGTCCGGAGACCCAGGAGGAGGTGCGGTGTGTGCCCAGCTGCTGCCCGCTCTCGGAGCAGTGCCACGTGAAGCTTTTGTCCTGCCCTGTACTGAGCAGCCACTCCATCTCCAACACAAACAGGACCACAGACACTTTACCCTGGTGAGCTGCAGAGAAGAGAAAGAGGGAAGAAGAAGATGAAGTATTATCAGACAAAATTTTAAAGAGACATTATATACCCTCCAGAAGCTTTACTCCGCCCCTAATCAAAATCTTAAAAATCGTCCAGAATGGGCGGTGCCCGGCAGGTTGGGTGGAGCCGGGTGAGAGGCGAGCTCTGGAGCGATGATTGACAGCTGACTGACAGCCACAACAATCCAACACGGCATGGACTGGTGCGCTCTGGACTTTGAAACAGAGCAGACATTTGTGCTTGGATCACATCGTTTCCCTTTTCAGCGGGGCTGAGAGGGGCTCCTCACGTACTCGTAAACCACCAGTGGCGGTGCTTGCCGCGTAATACATCTGGCTTATTGGCAGCCGTTAGTCCAGCCCGAAAATTCAAATGTACTGGCCGTAGTTAATTCTAAAGAGGCTGTTACAGACAGGGCTTTTGACCCAAAGGTCAGATTTTAAAACAAATATATATATAGATTTGAATTTTAGTGCTGCAAGATTAAATGCAATCAAATTAAAATAGCAAATTGGGAAGCTTGTATTAAAATATCCTGTTCAATTAGTTTACATCTGTGCAAATAAGTTCTGAAATATATCAGTAATATATCAGTCTTTTGTCAATTCTTCCGGATGCATTTAAATGTGAACTTTTAAAACTTTGAACTTGTCAGAAATGTCACAATCAATATAATCAATATTCTTTCTAAGTCTTTCAGCCCTACTGAGTTGGCAGAGGTTATTATGGAACCACAAATAAGCTAAAGATTGCAAAACACTGTGCTCCCTAGTAGGGCTGGCAAGCTTTGCAAATACTACTGGATTTACAATGTATATTTGTGACCATACCAGCTTGTCAAAACCTGATCCCGTCAGATCTCAGAAGCTAAGAAATGCCAGGCCTGGTTTGTACTTGGATGGGAGACCACTGGGAAAATCAGGTGCCACGGTAGCAAAAACTGTCTTTGTATCCTTAGGCAAGGCATTTCACCCACATTGCCTAGTATGAAAGTGTGCATGAGTAATGGGGCCAATGGTGCAGATCGGCAGCCTCCCTTCCGTCAGTCTGCCCCAGGACAGTTGTGGCTACAATAGTAGCTTACCACCACCAAGTGTGGAGTGAATGAATAATACTCTGTAAAGCCTCTTTGACTGTCCAGAAAGGCGCTATATAATACTGCATTATTATTATTAAGTGTGGAATACTGAACTTTGCTACAAACCACATGCTTTTACTGACAGAGCATTGGCTGTAGACCTCTCCATTAAAAGGTCCTATATTACACAAAAATGACTCTTGTGAGCTTTAAGCCATGTTATAATGTTGTTACCTCATCAAAAACGTACCTGGAGTTGTGTTTTGTTTTATTCACTCACACTGCTTTATCACTGGGCTGTCTTCAAAACTCAAAATGCTCTGTTCCATCTTGTGATGTCAGAGTGGTAGTTTTCAAGTTAACAGCTACCTTTCACCTTTGGTTCAGTACAGATCAGCAATTACATAGCTGAAATTATCAAAATTATTGTAGTTAAAGTAAATAGTTATGTGGTAATACACTTCCTGTATTACCACATGACATTGCAAGGTGGAACAGTGTTTTCTGTTTGAGAGCTTAATATGGGCTCTTTAAAAGATCCAAGCTGATCATTAACTATTAAAAATGAATTGATCTCCATTAAAAGACCTATTCATTTAATGTTGAACAAACTTGTAATCCAGCCAAATGGAGAAGGTTTTACATATTTTTCTTAAATGTGACCCTAAATAGTGTCTAAATAGTGAGACAGTAGCAGACTTGGACAGACAGATTTCCGGTCTCACCCTGGTAGGTGTTGGTTGGAGTCATCTTATTGTAATCCTCTGACAGGATGAACTCCTAGAACAAAAACAGGAAACAGAAAAGGAATTCAACCAAAATGTTTCACTTCAGTCACAAAAATAAAAGTTATATGGGTCTCTGCAGCTTTGATGAATCTTCAGAATAACTGTCACCATCTCCATGCTTATTCGGCCTGTCACAATAATTACTATATCAACATACTGTTCAGTATATAAAAGCTGGAACAATATATTTTGGGGCTCAGTATTTATCTGAAGTACATTTTCTTTGCAATAGTGGGGAAATTTGAGCCAATTCTGTGTAATAAGGTAAGATTTGAGCTATACAGGGAATAAACATTTTCTGTAGCTATTGTTTCCTTTACATTTATTTGTTGCAGCTCAGGTCTTTAAATAATCCGGTATATTTTTAAACTGGTTTAATGGAATTATTATCCTGCTTTGTGTCAGTGGCTTAAAGTAGTTTCAGTGGTATTGCTTATGTCAATATTTCTCTATAGCCCTATATCGTGTTTCAAAATGTGTCATCGTAACAGGTCTGATGCTTGTGACAGTTTATGAGAATATTGGAATGTGTGGGTGTACTGAATTGTATTCAAAGTATCAACTCACTCTGTGTAAATGTCAAGCTTAAAATTGTATTGTCATCTAAAAATCAGTAGACTCTCAGCTTAAATGTCTGTTTAATTATCAAGTAAATATATTGTAATTGATATAAATACAAATAATAAAACATTTTAAAGCACAATTGTGGATACAGCAGAAGCAAAAAAAGTTGAAATTCCAGTCAAAAGTTACATTTATTTTTACTACTTTCTACAGTTTAGATACATGCAGAAGACATATATGGATTTATATTGCAAAGAAAAAAGTCAAATAACTGCTAAATATTTTAAGCGCTTTGAGTGCCTTGAAGGTGGAAAAGCACTATAGAAAAATGTGACCATTTACCAAGTGTGGCTATTTTGAGGCTATTTTGTTTGCTACATAATTCCATACATCTTGCTTCATAGATTTGATGTCTTCTGTGTGATTATACTGTAGAAGTAGTAGAAATAAAAGTAAAATTAAAGAAAAAGAAAACACTGAAGGAGATGGTGTGTCCAAACTTTTGACTGGTGGTGTATAATGAACATAACATTTCTGCCTTTCATTACCCAATTAAAATATCCAATATAAAAAGTAATGTTTAGAAACAAAAATACAGAAATAAGCTGTGGTTCATTTGGTTTGCAGACACGAGCTGTATAGAGCCGTAAAATAGGCATTTCATTAAAAATTTTGTCACAGCTCCTTAAGGGACCATTAGCGGCTGAGTGCCAAAGATAAGCGTAATAGAACTGTTACTGCTTTAGTTAATGTAGCCTCTATTCCATAATGCTTAACACAGCTGCATGTTTTATGAATGAGAGAATGTGATCCTTACACAGATGCTTCCAGTGTCCATTCCAATAGACAACCTCCTGGTCTCTGGGTTAAAGGACATACACGTGCACGAGGCTGGGAAAAAGGAAATGTATTAATAAGTGTTAGACTGTTCTTATATGTGATCTTATAAACAATGCAGTCCTAATGCAAAGATATTGAACGTTCAATATCTACGGTCCTGATGTAGCAGCCTAATATACTATCAAACTGCAAATCATTAACTAGGAAACAACTGTCAGTGATTCCCCTATGGAGTTCAACAGTGACCGCCCACCCCCCAGTTCCAAAACTAAATTTCCCATTAATTTTTCCCATGATTATTAAAAGTTGGCAAGCTTGCTCAGGGCTAATCAGCTCTGTGGTAACTAATAACCACAAGACCTATCATTTAATTTAAAACCTGTTTCTGAAACTTTATAAACTGCTACGTTATTAAAACATTTTACAGAATCTTTCATTTTAAATGTCCTGCCAATCACCATATAGTCTTAATATTTGAATTTTTAAAAAAGTCTATGTGAAAAATTAATGGAAAATTGACTTACAGAGCCAGAGCAGGTGGTCACTATTGTTTGACTGGATGAGTGACTGTATTAATATATTATGCTTGTTCTCTATTTACATTGTATTTTATTGGCATGAACAGCATTTATGACACCAACCTGTCCAGGGAATGCTGCAGGTGGAAATTTAGCTTTAACCCAGCACAAATATATTACCGCTTTTGTGTACATCAGTGTTGTTATGTGCATTGTCCCGGATAAATAAACATATAAACTAAAAGCTAGTTAACTATACTTCAGCTATTATCCACTTGAGTCTATGAGAGTGAATTAGCTCTGTGTGATGTACACTTTGTGCTGACGGCAGCTGTAAATTTCCTTCAGTTGCAAAAATAAAAGAGGAACTTCTCTAGAGGCAGTAACAGAGCAGTCTTATTCTCAAACAGGGAATGCTGTATCAGACATTTACAGTAAGGGTAATTATAAATGTGTGATCTGCAAGTAGCCCATTTAGCCTTAATACATTTTCAATAACACCAATGTTTATCTTATATTAAATATTAGGCCTGGGTGATATGTTTAAAAAATAACAAAGGGTTTCAATAATCATTTCATAAACAACTTATAAATTAGTTGTAATAAATGCAGTTTAATACCAAAAATATTCACAGTTCTTCCTCCAAAGTCTGAGCTCTGCACCAAACCACCTGCTTTTACTGACAGAGGATTGGCTGTAAACTTTTCAGAAAAAGACCCAGACTCACTTGCATTTACACAAATCTTTGACCTCCTGCTTGTCTCCACGGAAAAGTTTTTCATTTCTCTATAATATAATACATTACAGCATGGTTTTGAGGTTCTATTTCCATGGAATCATTCAGATGTGTCACCTTCAGAAAAGTACACAGTGTTGCTTTAATTGTACGTCAAATATGTAATTAACCACTTGCCTGTTACTACTACTTAACAATTAACACGCGGTTGTTTAAAACATACTGTCATTATAAAAATAAACAAATCACAAACAGATTATGATAAAATAAAATAAAGGAGTATATTGAGAGATTATTCAGTACATTTGGATAATAATTAAAGGAAAAATTAGTACTTACAGGGCATTGTGTGGTAGACGCTGGGCCAGTACTGACCACTGTCTCTCTTCAACCAAACTCGAATAGTCCTAAATAAAAATATATGTTTAAATAACTTCATATGGACTTTCAAAATCTAAGGAAAAATAAATCCTACAATTATGGTGTCAGTTCACCCTTTGCCCTCAAGGTGGAGTTATATGACCCAGTATGTATTAAGCATATTGGCCAAAGTTACCTTATGCTTTCTGGGTAATGTTTGTGTGTTATGGTTAAAAAATAGCCTGCTTTTGGCTACAAGAAAATATCACTTGTTTAATTAAGTTATTGTTTGAAAGGTACGCAACATTACAAAAGTCAGTATATTATCTCTGTGAAAGAAAAAGATATAAAAATCAGATACTAATCCATACTAAAATAGCTACACTAAGAAAATCCCATTCACAGCACAGAAATTAACCTTTCCTGAATAGTTTTAGAATGATCTTGAGCTGTATCAAAACAAGTATAAGAGCACATAGACTAGTATACACCCATGGACCACTATGGAACCTACCTGGACCACTGAGAGATTATATATAATGGTAATATGAAAGAAAGTACTTTTATTAAATGTTGAAAATCACATTCTATTGTCTAAATAAAGACTGTTTTTAATATATTCTTGCTATCGAGAATCAAGTCTATTCCTTAGTATCAAAATTTTGAGTTTGAAATTTGACACACTATTAGTTTAATAGTTCATTTATCGTAATACAATACTTAGACTGACCCGAGACATTTACAGGCAAATCATATAGATCTAAATAAATACTGGAATACAGAGTGTACAGGATATGCAAATAAATAGGTGCTACAGTAGAGACACATCATTGTACATTCACAACTTTGCATGTGATGCCATGTAGTTAGTACCATTTGCTGTGACACATAAAACAATTGAGAACATTCCATACCAAACTATTGAGAATTTTATTTTTTTATGATAATTAATGCCTGCTTAAATTACAGGCTATTCCACTAAATTGAAGAAGACTATATTGAAGAAGATTATTTAAGAACAAAACAAATAGTTAGCTTGATTTCTAGTAACGCCACTCAAAAAAGGAGAAGTTAACTAAAAATGAATGACCCTAGGGTATTTTAATGGAAATACAAGCTTGTTTTATATTATAGTAAACAAAAATAAATGAACTAAAAATATGAAATAGAAAAATATAATTAAGAAATATGTTACCATTTCCATTCACTAAGGTAATATTTGCTTTGGATCAATATAAAATCATTAAATTGAGAATAATGACAATGCATTTTAAAGTCAACATTTTATTTTTGAGTGGTGTTGAGCATGAATGACCAGTGCACTCAGGCTTGCTACACTAATCTTGCCGTGGGCTATTTTCAAAACAAACTTTACTGCCTCATGATCAGCTGACAAGAAACCATGAAACTTAGCTTAGTGTTAAATATTCTTAGAAATTACACATGCTATTGACACATGATATTTAAAAAAATCACTCAGGAGCAAAATCAACAAACATTTCTACTTTAAAACTTTAATTACAAAGTGGATATTTCCATGGCCTATAATAATTCCTATGATAATTCTTCATATTTCTGATAAGTGGTTGCCAGCATGGAAAAATCTGCAATCTAAACTAACAGTAAGAACAAAATAACAACAAATTTCTACTCTAAAACAAGTACTAGGTGGATATTTTGATAGTATAACAAATAATTCCAATAACGTGTAAACTGTATGTAACACTTCTTAACTTAATATTTTTGACATACAGTGGTATCCAGAATGCAACAATACTTATACTAACAAGAGCGATTTACCTCAAAAACCTGCTCTAAACTGGGGCTGTAAGTGTCAACCATTATACATGAGCTAAATTATAAGCAAGTTATTACCTACTAGTTAAACACATATTGCCACACACTCAGCCATGCTATTTGGGCTAAAAGACTTAAGCGCTGTGCAAAAAAAGCTAATATTTAACAAGAATGCGTGTTTGTGCAAGAATGGCGAGGTTGTGTCGTAAAAAAAGACCAGGAAAACACGAGAAGCTGGTGAAAAATGCTAAAAATATGCTGGCTATGCAGTGCTTGGGCCGTGTACCTGTCATCGGACACGCTGATAACCCCGTCCTCTTTCGGGATGATGACCGCTGAGCTGACCACATCTTGAAAAGCCTCGATGGAGCCCTGCAAAGATGGCTTCCGATCCCTGGGTTCGCCTTGGGTCTCTGCCGCCATGGGTTAATGCTCCGCCGGTGTCGAGTCCTCCAGGGGGCTCGAGGAGAACATAACCCTCCCGCAGCAGCAGCGGTTAACGGCCAGTGTCAGACCGCAGACAGGAGCTCCGGAGGCGGGCTGAGAGCACGGGGAGAGGCGGTGTGTTGTGGCCGGGATCAGAGCGCAGTGAGGCTGTCAGCTGACAGCACACACCGCCCCTATCTGTCACACATGAGTGCTGTCAAAATAAAACTTCCTGTTTGACCGAAAAAGATGAAAAATAGAGAAATAAAAGTTCTTTAACAGCCTCTCTTTGCTTTATTGAATTAATAGATCGTGGTCGTGCATAACAGCTGTGAGTTTGTGAAAGTTTAAAAACATTTGTAAACGCAATTTTTTCAGACCCTTCCAAAATAAAGATGCACACATCCATTTATGTACATTTCAGAATAAAATAATTTGTTTTTCTATAGTATTTGTTGCTAGCTTTACTTTTACAATAGGAAACCTCACTTTTTATACATTAACATAGAATATGACTACATTTCTTCCAATATATATATATATATATATATATATATATATATATATATATATATATGTATATATATGTATATATATATATATATATATATATATATATATATATACATATATACATATATATACATATATATATATATATATATATATACACACACACACACACATATATATAATATATACATATATATACATATATATATACATATATATACACACACACACACACACACACACATATATATATATATATATATATATATATGTATGTGTGTGTGTGTGTGTGTGTGTGTGAATGAAATGTATACATTTATTGTTGACAACTGTATGTATGACAATGCATGTTTTGGACTTTTTATACATACATTTTTTATCATATAGATATAATATGGCGAATGTTCAATTATTAAATACACAGCCTATGATATTTATCCAATTGTTTTAATAAACTATTGAAACTATAGGATTATTTTATTGTGAAAATCTCTAGATTTACAAAGGAAAGTGGTGCAGTTTGCGCTTGCTGTCGTTGCTCCAAAAGAAGTCTCTCAAAGAAACATCAGACAAAAGACAGTACTCCTCTGCACTGTCAACAGCCCTTCGCGGATCCTTAAGATTTTTTTTTACGGAAGTCATCATATTTTCCATGGACTAATTATGTAAATAGCCGTAGATAATCGCTCGTTAAGTGGTTTATTGCCCAAATCTGCCCTGATGGTGTGAGAGTTGTTGAAGAGCCGTGTGATTGTCAAGGGTATTACGCTCTGGCTGATCCGGGCCTCGTGTTGTCTGTGCGGCTCTTAACCCCAGAGGAGACCTGTGATGGGCCGAAGAAAGTGTCAAGCCGCGGGGTACGAGCTCATGTCCCCGTAGCGAGTACTCAACAAAACCTGTTTACCTCATGTCTCGCACTAATGGACATCTTGGCCTATTTGCATTAAGTGCCACATATAAATGTTTACTAAGGAGAAGACTCGTCCATAGAATATCAGTTAAATAAGTGGGCTTAATTACCCCCACATAAACAGTTTTAGAGGATATATTTGATCACAGCTATTCTTCAAGGACTGTCTTTCACAGGAGCCCACGCCCGAGTACACATTGAACACTGATTATGTAATCACTTCCCACCTAAACCTACAGCCTGTGTACATAATATATCTGCTCCTACATCTGTCTCTACGCCGTAAACATAAAGCGTGGCCTGATTTTCGCTGTTTTTAACACTTAATGCTGTAAAGACTATTTTCCTTGCATTCCTCTCAGGCAGACCGCGCATGCGCATCAGGCTCTGGGCTTTTGCCTTATTTGGATATGGTAATGAAGAGCTCAGAGCACCCAACGAGAGGGGTGTATTTCTCCATGTGACTGCCAAAGCCCGCTCTGGGGGCGGGGCCTGTTGCGGGTCCGGGTTTAAAAGCCGCGCACAAGCAGCGCGCAGTCAGTGCAGGCAGAGCAGGACACTCTGTGGGGGAACTTTGTTACTATGAAACTTAGAAATATTTACTATATAGTGTTAAAATTATCAATATCCCTCGCAAATCAATAACCTGCCCCCGGGGTTGGAGTTTTTTAGTTTAGTTTGCCCGGAAAGGGCCTCTAAACTCACTATTCTTACACTTTTTTGAAAGAATGTGTGAGACAGACAGTTAGCCAGCTAGCCGCTAGCTAGCTAGTTGAGAGGTGATACAGGCGGTAGGGAGAACAAAAGATTTTTTTGCGTTTTGGCCGGTTGTACTGACACCAAGTCCATGCAGAACGTGTCATACCATCACAATGCCCGTTTTACTTTTTCTGATAGACACGTCCGCTTCAATGAACCAGCGCACCCATCTGGGCACTACCTATCTGGACATAGCAAAAGGCGCTGTTGAGACTTTTATGAAGGTACTGTAACCCGGGACACTTTGTATGGGGAGATCCCGAGCGGGTCTGCGGGTTAGGGTCTTCTCTGTCAGAGCTGATCTGTCCATAACCGTGAACAACTCTCTGTTTCCACAGCTCAGAGGCAGAGATCCGGCGAGCCGCGGGGACCGGTATATGTTGGTAAATTTTGAAGAGGTTCCGTTCGGGATTAAGGTAGAGTTTGCTTTCGGGATATGTCCATCTTTACATAGCGCAGATTGCTAGAGTCCGTCCCAGAGCTCCGCCACGTTGTGATAGATGCATCAATTGTGCAAAGAAAATCTTCAGGAGGAGCTTTCATACCCCTTTTAAAACATGGCCGACATTTTGTTTCAATGTGTGCAGCAAGGAACTCTGGGTGTTATTTATACAGCGAGGTGATATGGGGGGCGGGCTGGGGTGACAGACTAGCCTACTTTAGTTGTTTGGACTCCAATTTCCACTCTATTATCGGAACACAATGACACTTTGACAGCTTATATTAAACGACCCTATGTTTATAACAGTGGCAGTCTGTTACATGCCACAATATTTAGTCAAGGGGGTCTCTAAATGCTTAGGATAAGAACTTATTCCCCAAATGAAGTACTTCTCAGTGTACAATGAATTTAATGAAGTAGAGCGGAGCAATGACACAAGATAAATATTTTTTATTTATTATGGAATTACTGATGTATTTGAGCACACATGCAAACATTTATGGTATAACAATTATGGTGCTACAATTCATTTGAAAGTGACATAACACCATAAGTGACATAAACTAAAACAAACAATACTCGCATTATTACAATATTTAATCAGTATACTTGTATATCGTATAGCAATTTATAAATAAATAAATGATGCCATTATAATCAACATATAACTAGACACTGGCTAACTGTATTTGACCCATGAGTGCAATTACTTAGGCACAGTAGTGCAGTAGGTAACATGGTACATTAAAAACCTTAAAAAGCAATAGAGTAGTAATAAAATAAGTTGTAGAAATTATTATTATTATACTAATTATAAAGTGATATACATGTTAATATGTCTGATGTTTTTTATTAGTTTGATTTTACAAATATTTAAATCTCTTATTTATTTTCAGGCCGGATGGAAGGAAAGCCATGCCACTTTTATGACAGAATTGAGGAATCTCCAGGCAAACGGACTCACTACTATTGGCCATTCACTGAGGACGTCTTTTGATTTACTCAATCTCAATAGATTAGTGACTGGAATAGACAACTATGGACAGGTACGTAGTCCCAACACAAAGGAAGATGTAGGCTAATAATATATGAATGCTGTTATAAAGTTCACAATGCCCCCCATTCAAAAACAGCCCCCATCCCAGCTCTTACCCACCTGTCCACTGTCCAAGCACCACCCGCATACTGTGGCCCACATGCAAGACACAAGCATAAACTACAAATAGGACCAGATAATACAAGTAGCTTTGAAACAGGTCTTAACTATGACTTAGATGGAAGAACCTTTCAGAATTAAAAAGTAAGTAAAAAGAAAACAATACAAGATAAATAAGGCTGTAAGAGTAGACATTTAACTATCATAAACAAATTAAAATTGTGTTGTTTTATGGGGCTAAAGAGTAACCAATATATAGATTGAGAGGCTATAAACTAATGTGCAGTACATCCTACAGCCCACATGCAAGAGACTAGTAATAAGTAACAAATTGGAACACATGATGCAAATATCTTTAAAACAGGTCTTAACTATAAAATGGGAGAACGTTTCATTTTCCAGTATGGGGAAATATCAGTGTTGCAATAGCATAACAATAAAAACAAGAAATAAGGATTCAATATTAGAATAGGGATTTGAGGGAATTGGGAGGATGTCATTATATACTTATTTGGATTAAAATACAGATTTAAAAGAGTAAAATCTAAGGTTACAAAGTCAGCATGTACAATGTGTGACTAGGTAATAAATGACTAATAAAGAGTATTGAATTCATATCACTTATGGTAATTACATATAGCTGAGATTTTTTTTGGCTATACATAATAAGTAATAGACACTTGGATTATATTATATGTCAAGATCCAAATCTGAAACATTATTAAAGCACTTTAAATGATCATACATAAGTTATGAATCAGATTTGACTATAAAATGAACAGTCTAAAAATAATGCACAGGTGAGTGATTAGTTCTGACACTGTAACCCAAATGTTTAACTTGAGGTAGTATTTTGAACAGCTTCTGGGTAGAAACAGGCAACTCATACTAGACAATACCCAGAATATGAACTTTTTTCCATTCATTTTTTAATAGTTAATGAAATTAAACATTTACACAAAAGTTTAGGTGAGGACAGGGTCAAAGTGTTCCACATTAGTAAATATACAGTCTATATCCTTTACATAGTTGTTAGGTATTACACGTTAAGTTTGAGCAAGAATTTTATTTAATATGGACACTGCAATCAGTATTGGCGTTATATAAACTTTGCAAATATATACTTAAAAATAAAAACCTTTATGTCTTAGAGTGCTTATAATTAAGTGTTTTATAATTAAACTTATCTCAGTTATCACTATAGTTTACATATGATAATGGCTATAGGTCAAAGTTCAGAACAAGGTGAAGACACAGTTTTTCCAAAGCTGAACTCATTTAAATGCACAAGTAAATATTTGAGCAATGTGTTTCAAATTTTGTTCCACCCTTAAACTTAGGGCTGTAATCGAGGTTATCGATTGAGATTCTAATGGTTAATGATCAGCTTGGCTCTTTTAAATGGCGAGGTCTAGCCAATCCTGTCACTCAAAGCTTGCGGTTTGTAGGATGTTGCCATAAGTCATAAGTTCATTTTGTAAAGTTTGACATTTTGGTGGGTTACGAAAACATAGCAATTTTTTTTATTTATTGACACCATTGTTGACAAATGTTAGGAAATTTAAAATGAAACTGAAGGCTTGTCTCAGATGAAGAGCTTTATCTGTTCTCTGTAATAGGTGTAAAATACTTGGTTAGCTGCATGAAGTAATAAAATGTTGGTATTATTTTTCAAGTAAAAGATACAATTTTATATAGTAATAGATTTCGTTTCAGAATTACATTCAAGTACAGTGGCTGATCAGTTCACAGGCCGGCAACGATAATTACTATCTCAACTTCAATATATGAAAAATGGAACGATTAATTTTGGGTTTCAGTGTTTATCGTGGGGCCTTTTTCTTTGCATTAGCGAGGAATCTTTTATTTCTCGGTTCTAGAATTAGATTTGAGCTGTGAAGGGTTGAATAAATAACTTCTATGACTCATTGCAGATACAAACTACTTCAGTTTTTCATTCTGTTATTTATTTATTGCCGTGTTTTTGAACCATTTTACACATTTGGAATCGTTTATTGAGGATTTGTTGTGTCAGTGGCCTGAATTAGTTTTAGCATTATCATTTTTTTTATCATGACAGGCCATCCATAGGTCATAGTGTTGACATGAATTTTCTGCGCTATATATTGGGCACTAACCACTGGACTATATTTAGTATAATATATAAGCACAAGAATGAAGTGCTTTTGTTACTTCACTAGTAGTAGCATCCGTTTTTTGTTGTAGACATGACTTTGTTTGTGAGCTTTAAGTTGACATATTTTTCTCCACCTGTGGTTAGACAAAGGGAGAATCGCTGCGTGGGAATTATCATTGTCCCGGAGTGTTTCTCTGTACACTGACAAAAGCTGAGCAGGTTGCCAGGCATTTGAGACGGCTCTCCCCAAGGAAACCAAGATGGGTATGGAGGGAGTTGGAGAGAGAGGGAGGGAGGGAGGGAGGAAGATGGAGAGACCGTGAGAGTGAGGGATGGGTGGGTGTTAGAGAGAGTAAAGAAAAAGAGGGGGAGAGCTAGGAGGAGCAAGGGGAGAGAGGAGGCTAGGGAAAGGGAAGAGAGTGAAAGGAAAGACAAGGATGGAGAAAGAGGAGATAAGTTGGTAGAGTAACAAGAGGAACAGGAAGAGAGGGACAAAGAGAGAAGAGGAAAGAGAGATTGAAGAGAGAGCATGGAAGAGAGATGGAAAAAAGGGGCAGGGATAGGAGGGACAAGGAAGGTGAGAGGGAGGAGAGAAGAGAGATGGAAGCCAAAGGGGGAAGAGAGTGGGAAGGAGAGAAAGGGGGATCTCTAGATTGTAAAGAGATGGGTGGATGAGAGAGAGAGAAGAGGGAGACAGGAAAAAAAGAGGAAATGGCTAAAAAGGAGGTAGGTAGATGGAAGGAGAATAAAACAATATCATGAAGCAGAGAGAAAAGGATGAGAGGGGGAGAGAAGTGAATAGAGGAAAGGACAGACAGGATAAAGGGGAGTGTGAAAGAGGGATGAGAGGGAGAAGAGAGAAAGAAGAGATGAGAGAGAGTATGTAGCTCGAGAAGGCAGAAAAAGTGACAGAGCATCAAGGAGAGGAAAAGAGGAGAGATAAGCAAATTGTAAGCTTTTATGTTTTTGTTTTTGGTACCGACAACATCATTTCATTAGAAAGAGTTAGAACTGAGGAGCAGTAGTTGTGTTGTATTCGTTTTATTCATTTTCTTGCCACCTACAGGAAATTATCAGCGTTACAGTCTGTCTTTCACACATTTTGACTGAAGATGGTGCTGTGGATTTGTTCAGCTGAAGTTGACAAGTATAGACCTGTATTTGTACAAAGAGAAATCCAGTTTTCATGTAATTAAGTACTACCCACTAAAGCTGAATGGTTGTGTAAAAATATATAATTGCGATTTTTCGGACAAGCATGGCGATTAGATTTATGATTTATGTTTTAATAATGAGATTCTGTTCAAAGTTCACATTTCAACATGTCTAGAAGAACTGACAAAGACTGAAATATGAACTGACAAAGTAATACAAGAATCATTAGGGCTGGGATGAGACACAATTTCCACAAGATCAGACGAGACACAAGATTAGATCCACAAAAACGAGACATGATGAGATTTTGGAATAATTTATAATAAAATAATTGTGCTATCGCATTTGCAGTTTTGGCCTAACGTTTTCTAATTTAATATTTTCTTGTAGTAGGCCTTCTTTTTGGAACCACAGCTCCACAAGAGATATTATTTACCAGCTCTTAGCGCTTTTTGTCCAATCTAGATGTAAACTAAATGGAAAATGAGATCATTTTCCTCATGTGTGCACGATTTTGTGGCAATATTTGATCTTGTCCCATCCCTAAGAATCATGTTTCAAAATGTTTATGATAAGCTAAGCTATAGGGTTAGCAGTTTTATGCGGAAAGACAACATTGTTGTTTGTGAAAGAAAGCATGGTTCTAATAATGTGCCACAATTTTGCTCAATTTTTCTCAATCGTGTACATTCGAATTGTGATATTCGATTGCGTTTAATCTTGCAGCCATACTAACCACCTGATTGAATGTGTCTAGTTTTATCTGCCCATAGTTAATTATTATCTTGAACGCAGATTAAAGTTTTTGCTAATAACTATAATTACTGGAATCTAAATAATTACAAACAGGTTCTTAGCTTCACCCGTGTTGGTTTAGTGGGATAGTGCCTGTGGAAAATATTTCATACTTTTACAAGGGGCAGCTTGTGGGAAAGTACAAAAATACAGGAAGTAGCGTTGATTTTTAAAACAATATCCCTCTACTTATGTCACCAACACCAAAAATTCCTTCCAAAATGCAAAGATATTTATTTTTCTGGCAGTTTAAACCTTCATTTAACAAAATATAGGTGCTGTCATTTATTTTTATCTGTGTAATCATAACTATTAATAGCAATTTAGACAAGTTTGGCCGCTTGGTTTACATTGTGGTTGCTAGGTAAATTATGGAATTACCTTCATGTGTGTCACATCTGCCAGTGTTCAACCAAGAAGTAAAATTATGAAATCATCAAAAGGAAACAGGCAAGATTGTTTTCTTGTCTATAATGATGTCAACTATGTTTTAATGAAATGGGTAGTCTAAGCTGTCATATGCACTTTAAATGGTTGAAATTACTACTACTAATCTATTAACCACAGCCACAATATCCATAAAAGATGGAACTTCCTCCTCTCTCTTTTTATTGAAATGGAATAGTACTATTTTGTTTTATATGAGATGGATGCCCTATTTCTTTTGATGGTAATTGCGTAACTGCGGGTAACAGGATATTGCTCCCTCGGACAGTTTGCTCATCTTTATAGTGTTAAATGACAGTAACATGTTTCAAAACATTTACTGAAACCAAAGCCGGGATTAGAGTTCATTCAAGTTC